ATTACAAAAAAAACCCCAAAGTCCCCCAATAAACCCAATGGTATTTATCATGACTGAAAGTACTGCAAAACACGCAAAAAGAACTAGAGATACAAAAATACTGAAGATTATAGTCAGGTAGATAAAGCTTTGGGAGGAAAAAAAAGGCCAGATTCATTTTAAAATCCTTTGACAAACTGAACAGCTACAAGATGTCAGCATTAAGGTCACAAAGTACTTTAAGAAAGCTTCTTTCCAAATGCATTGCACCATCAGGGTGTTGCCAGGAATCACCACACTGCTTACTCATGACATGTCAATTCCTTTCCTTACACTGTACCTTGCTCTTAAAGAAACTTACCATCAGGGAAGGTGGCGGCTTCTTTGTGAAACCCAAACCACTCAATACTTCCACAGCTGCATTTTAACTCTTTCTCTCCCCCTCCTATGAAGGCCCCCACAACCTTCCGCCCAGTAAAAGCACTCTGAATTTTGGTCTACAGGAGCTGAGGCTTCAGTAATTCCTGCCTCTGTATTTCTTTTCCCCTTTTCTGTTCTGAGAAAGAGGGTTAGGAGGTAACAGTCTCCAGAAGTGCAACATTTCAGCCTGCTACAGAAGGTTATTACAGTAGATTGAACCTTTGCTCTGCAAATGTCACATTGTGGAGATTTGATTTTAATGGAGAAGCTGGACCAGAAGATCAGATACGAGCTCCTAAAACAAGGCTACTGAAAGAGGTTTCATACCTCTTTCATCCACACAGTACTGTTCCCTCACCACAGCCCAGACTAGCACCAAGGCAACCCTTCAAATCACCAATGTGGCAGAAAACTATCTAACTTTCTTGCCCTGGCAGTTTTCTCCTGGTTTCATGAGCTTAAGCATCTTATGGAGGGCTGCATTGGAATTAACGCAAAGCAGGCAATGGGAGAAGGCAGTCAAAAGTGGTAAGAAGAGACTTCCCCTCCTCTTTTGACAGCAATAAATATTAGTGAGCTCACCTTGTCTCATAAAAATCACCGAAAGGAAATAAATCTCCCCTCAACCTGGCACTAGAACCCCCTGAGCAGCAGCACCAGGATACCAGGCAGTAGGAAAGCAAGTGTGGAAGCACGCAGGAAGGAACAAGGGGCCGGCTGCCCTCCTTTAGCAGTGAGCCACCTCTTACACTTTTGCCATCACTCCTCCTTGTTACCAGAGAGAGAGTTCTGATTACGCCCAAGTGCTGCTATGTCAAGTGTGTATTAGATCTCCAATTAGTGCTTTATTTCCATGCTCACAAGCTTTCTTTCCTCCAGATACTTCTGAACTTCCCTGCAACATTACTGAAACTTGTTGCTTAACCTAATGACTTCCAACTAAACACCAAAAAAGCCACCACAGAAAAAACAGTTAAACAAAATGAATGCTGAGGACTTAGGAAGCTCCAAAATTCATGCTGCCAATGCAAACTCAATTCAGTTCCTTATAGAAAGACAGAGTGAAGTAATCTTCCGCTGCAGAGGCTCTTTTGCTGACTTGCAGTCATTGCCCCATCAAGCTTAAAGGACTAGGGCTCAGGAACAACTAGAGAATCAGTGAATAAAATGCTCCTCTCCAGGACTTCTACTAGATGACAGCAACAGTTGAGACCTGTGCAAGTATTTGGAGAACCGGATGAGCATGGTCTTTGGACATCAATTACAGTTTACCAAGGAGGCTCTTATCCTCAAAACGTGTCCAAACCACTCCAAACAATAACGTGTCCAGTTTCCAAGCTAGCTACCTTATACAAGAGCGGCACAGCTGCACTGATATGGTGCTCCACCAACACCACTAGCTTGCTGTTCAGCAAAAAAATTAGCCTGGGCAGAGCACTGCACTAATGCGATTATATTGCTTCTAGTACCTGAGGAGCTAGCTCATTCATCGTTTTCCATTCCTTTCCTCTGAAATAGAGGAGTTCAGTTTTTGCTATGTTCTTAACACATAAATAATTTAATCGCCTTTTTTTTTTTTTTTTTTTTTTTTTTGAAGAGAGAGGAATGATGCTTGAAAAGGATTCAAAAAGTCAGATTTCCCTGACTGAAGCAGTGGATCTCCTGCCTCCATAGCCTGTCCCCACTATTACCATCTTCTTCTAATCACTTCTTTTGTTCATATCAAGCTGCCACCTTTTCCAAACTACCTTTGCACCTGCAAGTCTTCCCTGGACATCACAAATAATGATGTCCAGCCACAACCAACAGTGGCAAGAGCTAGAAGATTTTCAGCTTGAGTGGAACAGAGTCATCATTGCCTTCCACTCCCCCTTTTTTACAGATGGACAACAGGTATCACAGGAGGTACTTGCTAAAAAGAGGGGCCACCTCTCAAATCAGTGAGTGGAAGAGCAGGAATACAAACCACAACTTTCTGATTCACAGTCTGGGGCTCCTATCGGGACACCAAAACAGAGACCAGCGCAAGGTGTACCACCTACCCAGACTCTGCCCCAAGTCATGGAGACACCAGATCATCAGTGGAACTGCCTGAAGAACTCAAGTTCTGACAAAATACGAGCATGCTGGAATGCCCAAAAGCAGCCTTTGCCTGTTTGCTCAAGCCCTGCTGAGCAATCCAGCATGAGGAAGATGTTCGAAGAAGGCACCATTAAGTCAGCCAGTAAAAAACTGAGCAGCCACAAGCAACCCACAGCGGCTGTACAACAGGAAGTTCTGGGTAAACCCCACTACCGGCAGTACTGCCAGACCCTCTTGCTTTTGAGTTTGCCTGTAACTCATCATCAGGAGAGAAACAGAACAATATCACAGCACCCATTGGTATCTCTAGTCTTTGGCCCACACCCCTTACCTGTGCAGGCACACCTGCGCCCAGGCAGGCCCTGTGGATGTAACACGGCGGGATGCTTATCACACACAGACCTTGCAAGCAGCCGTGGCGTTCTGGCAGAGTGGAAGGCAGTGACAGCAACACCATCTCCACTTCCCCACGCCTTCACAAGTCTTTGACTTGCTCGATAAGCTTCTAGCAACTTGTTTTTCTAGTTATTTGTCATACTATGTTGGTTTCGATACTAAATAAAGTTAATCTTTATATTCCCACCTTTTTTAAGTTTCACTTTTTTTTAAATACAAAAAAAATGCCATAGAAAAAAATGGTTAAAATTTCTACAACAAAACTTTGTTAAGAAATGCTATGAAGTCATGGCATTTTATTGTCTTGTGATCACAAGCCATATTAGTACTGGCTAGACTTCTAAACACTTATTTCAGCTTCAAATTTAAAAGAGTAAATGAACAACACATCTCAAAGCTGTCTCCCCCTCAGCATGCTAATGATACAGAGCTTTTCCAGGACAGAAATGGAGGGAAGAACAACCTTATTTCTTGGCATTCTTTCCCTTTAAAGCAGACCGCTTCCTTCTGTTAGAAATATTTACAGGAATAGCTTCAAATTTTGCATTTGAGTTATACAACATACATCATAACAACGCAGACCGAAATTCCAGGCTCAAAAGGGTATGAAAGCAGAAAGATTCTTTATGTTTGCAGCTCCAGCATGCAACCACCAGGTACAAGGAGAGGAGCTTGAATGGATAATTCCAGTTTCTCTGCATGTATGTGTAGTACATGTAGTACAAAAGGTGTAGTACAAAAGTTCACACTTTAAAAAGTTACAGTTTATTCCTAAAAAGCCTGCAGATTAGAATCCCAGTTTGACAGTAAAGCATGAACATAAAAACAGTGAATAAGAGCTTGCAAAGACAGAGAGAAAAGCAACATAAAAGCCAACATATGAAACAATGTGAAGCAAGTTAAGACAGAATAGAAAACACTTTTACAGTCAGGGGGGTGGGGGAGTGGGTGAAGAAGCATTCTTTTAAAAAAAAAAAAAAAAAAAGTCAAACCAGTCAAGGTACCGCAAAACTGCAAGAGCAATTAAGTAAACAACATGTTACAGTCACATACTGAATCAGGCAGAAAGGAAACTCACAGAAACACCACCACATAGCGTTGAGAAGTTATACTGAGATATGAAGGAAAAATAAAGGCCTAGAAACTAAGTGCAGTCTCTCTGTCATCTCCTACACTTACACGGCCAAAACTCTGGTTTGGGGAATTACTGTATTGCCGGTGGCTCCTGTGTAGAACTGGAGGAGAAAAGAGTGATGGAATGGAAAGGGAGGAAGAAAAATTGAAGAGATACTGGGGTATGTGTATATGTACACATACATATATACACAAGCATACAAACATATGCACACATATACCTGTGTATCCCTAGATAATAAAAGATAACTTGGACTAGCTGGCACAGAGCGGGACCAGCAAAAGCAGTCTACTTAAGTTTTACCTTTCTACCTCCTGCTTATTTACTTGTTGCAGTCTTGTATACTACAGAATTACACAGATCAGGTCTGGAGCCTCATTACTTCTACGTGGCAATTCAAGGTAACTGGGAAAAGGAGTTTGCTGGTTATTTCTGATTGCCTGTACGCCTCAGGGAGGCTGTATGACTAAAACAGAGGAGAACATAGTCTCTGCACAGCAAGATATGGTCTGTACCGTGCACTCCTGGGAGTTTCTTCCCTCAAAATACCTTTGCATTGGTATTTACTGCTTGTAGCTGCTGCACAATTTGCTAAAATAGTTAAACTGATGCAAGGACTCCAGAGCACAGAACACAACTTGAGATTTGTGAGAGCTTATTATCTGGTGCTCCGCGTGATGTCAGGGCTCACTTTTCAGACCGCTCTGTATAAACATGCAATAAAAATAAATCAGTCCAAATAAGGCTAACGATGTTTCACAAACACAGAAATACTCCGTAGCTACCATCTCACTCCTATCTCATTTCCATCACCACAGAACAGGAAACATACACTACTAATTAATTCATAAACCCTAATCTCTGTAGGCAGCTGAAGTTGTCAGTTCGATAAATAAACCGGCCGGTAATGACGGGAAGTTGAACTACATTATCAAGGAAATCCTTCTGTCAGAGGACCCTGTTCAAGCTCGGCTCGCGACAGTCTTACCTGTGCAGAGTCTAGAGACTTTCAGTAGGGAAGGACTTTAAAACGGTACCTGGACCAACCAAGCAGCACGAACGAACAAGGCAGCCGGGGGGATTTGTCAGAACACATCACGGCTCACATGCTTTACCGCTATAACCTACATCGACCGGATTTTGCCAAATACCCTCGACTCTTCAGGCAGCCGGTGTCACGGAACAGCGAACCCGCGAGTCCGAGGCAGATCGCGACATCTCTGAAGCGCTGCAGGGCACGCACACCTCGCATTCGGGAGCGCTCCCGCGGGGCCAG